ACTGTTACCAAGATTAACAGTGACCTAGGAATGCCATGTCTGTCTTGTGAGGTCCCTATTAAAGTATTGAAATAGATTTAATAGTCACTCTTGCTCTGAATCTGTTTTTGTAATGCATGATATTCACCTCTGACCTCCACACACACAGTGATCCGTGCTGGAACCAAGGCAGCAGAGGGTGTGCCTGAAGCAGACATGGTCAAAAGAGCCAGGGTGAGTTCATTTTCATCAACCATTTTAAATGTTTCTGATTGGAGAATGATTTTAATGCTAATACTTATCATGTCTGCAGTGACGCATATATTTGGTGTGTCTTTTTCCCTCAGTTTGAAGAAATAAAGAGGACCAAGCTTCGGAGCTTAAACGTGTTTGTGTCAAAGACTCGTCTGTGTGTCCACAACCTGCCCAAGTCAGTGGACAATAAAAAACTCAGAGCACTCTGTCTCCAAGCGGTAAAAGGAAGCAAGGGAGCCCGCGTCACAGAGGTGAGAAACAATATGCCACACTGGTGGACACTTCATGAAATATAGCAGTAGTATTATGGTAGTTATCATTTTTTGGCAGCTTTGTCAAAACATCCCTGAAAACAGTGTTGTGTGAGTAACATTTATGAAGGTTAGACTGACACAAAATTGAAAACAGTGTGTCTCTGTGCCCAGTAGGGGGTGCTGTTGTCATTTTTAATCCTGCTGTGTGTGTGTGTGTGTGTGTGTGTATACCTTCTGTTTCTCCTTCTAGTGTCGGGTGATGTATGACAAGAAGCCAGAGAAGGGTCAGGTGATGGGACAGTCATTAGGTTATGGCTTTGTCCAGTTCCAGGACCATGAACATGCTCTCAGCGCACTGCGTTACCTTAACAACAACCCAGACATCTTTGGCCCCCACAAGGTGCGTTGTTGCAGCGAGGACGTTGTGCTGAAGTCATTATCAGTGTGTTTTAAAAGAGTTTTGTTTTTGCTTTGTTGCCACTGTATTTATTTACTTTCAGACTTCACATTGTGGTGATTGTGTCTTATTTTATGTCATCCTGCAGAGACCTATTGTCGAGTTCTCCCTGGAGGATTCAAGGAAACTCAAGATAAAAGAATTGAGACGACAAAAAAACAAGGTGCGTTTGTACTCATTTGTGTGATAGGTATATCTTAAAATTGAATAATGCTCTTTATCTAAATGGGAGAGTAACCCTGTGTGGTCATCTTTGCAGGAGTTTTTCCAGAATCGGCTTTTTAAAGGAGGAGCGAAACCTCAGTCCCAGACAGCCGGAGCTGGAAGAGAACCCAGGAAAGGTGGAAATAAAGCACAGTCCTCATCAGAGCAGACAGGAGAGAGAGGTATGAAAACTATTTCTCTGTTGATGTTCATTTTGCCCTTTCCCAGTTGAATGAATATATTCGGGTGTTTTACATGAGAGGCTCATGCAGATAGGCTCAAGTAGGTTGCTGTTCTCCTGTCAAAGCACAGATACAGAACAGCACACGAGTGCTGTGGAGAAACCAGTGCTCCAGACTCACTTTTTATTGGGGCTGCTTCCTAATAGTCGACCAAACGTTAGTCGACCAGAAAGGTTATTAGTCGGCAAGATTTCATTGGTTGCTTAGTCACACAAAAAAATGGAAAACAAACGAACATGAAACTCTATTAGGAACTGCACTTCATCAAAATGATGCAAAACCTGTATGACTGGACCATGTGGGAATTTAATTTGAAAGGACAGACACAGGAAGAGGCCGACAGATATCTTTCCCTACTTCCATAAATATTCAGTCTGATAATTACGGAAATAGCTTTACATCTATCCCATGGATGACAGGCGGATTTTGTTTGCATCTGTGGCCAAAATGGTGGCGCTGTGGAGCCCTGGGAGAAACCATATTACATTTGACTGTCTGTGACACTGAATTAAGTTTTGCCCTTTTACTCCACCTGTTAACATTTACATCCTTTTTGATTTTCTCTCCGTCCACTTTCTGTTTTTATCAGCTCTAAGTCAGAGCCAGAAGCAAGGAGGACGCCATATGGGCTTCCAGACCACACCTGAGGTCGAGCACGTAGATTTGGAGAACGGGAAGAAACGAAAGAAGATTCTACCCTTTCCTTCTCATCGGGGACCTAAGAACAGGTACAGTTTTTATCGCCTTTACTACTCAACTGTTAACAATGCGCTATGTGTGTCACACAAGCAGATCTTAGGATATGTGTACAAAAATTCAGAACAATCAGAAAAGGAGGTGAAAATAACTCATGAATCTATTTAGAAGTCATTGACAGTTTTGTAATACTGATGACATAACTGTCAATGACTTAACAGTGAGCATCAGGTTTAAGTTATAACTTCTGAACTGTTCTTCCGTTGCAGAATGCGTGACAAAGGGAAGCAACAGGCTCCGCCACCCAAGAAAGCAAGGCCAGGATCCAACAGGAAGGACCGTCAAAGACGACAGATGGAAAAGCCCACACAGCCCAGAAACCAGGTTCATACATATTCTGTTGTGTTTGTGTCTGTTGGTCATGATCACAAAACAAAGTTAGCTGCTGAGGTACTGGTTTAAAAAGCGACTAAAAACAGTGGCTAACACAGAGAAGGTGGGAAAAAAGCACCAGAAAATAAAACCGTTACTTTGCAGGAGGACTGAGAATTTATCTCTGGCATTGTGTTTTTACTTTCTTATCTTAATCCTTGTGTGATCAGCCCTTTTTAAAGAGCAGTTTTTACAAAAACATAAATGAATGATATAAAAAAAAATTATTAAAAATATTGCACATAAACTTCTTTGATTTCATGTCATTACATCACGTCTAAAAAATTAAAAAAAATCAATCTGTCTACACGTTTACAGAAAAAACAAAAATTCCTCTACATTTTATCCTCTCGTCCACTAAACAGAGTTTTAGGTCACTAAAATGGATATTTTTCAGCATGCCCTCTAAGTTGCACTTTTTTGTCTCTCAGGTTACTGTTTGTCTGTGTGGACATGTAAAACGGAGCATTTTGGAAACAATGATTTAAATCTCCTCAATTTGTGCATGCACATTGCAGCATTGTGTAATGAGCAATCTCTAGAAACAACAGCAGTGACGAACTACCGGTTTGCTAAAGTTTTGTCAGTATTGCTTGGTCTAATGACCACACTTAAACTCTGTATTGCTTCACCACTTCATGGATGAACAAGGTATCTGCTGCATCCGGTGCTTATGCTCTACCTTTGGGTGTCTGCCTGAAATGACAGTTTTGGATCAGACCTGGTTCAGACCTTGAACCAGCAGATGGTGGGACTGTTGTTGATTTAGAGTAGAAGGTAAACTTTCACACGTCCAGAGCATCACTGTGTTCAAGTGAGCTCCTTGATCTTTTTATCGAACAGGGTTCAGCGGTGATACGATCTCCAGTAGGTTTTTTGAAAACGTTAGCCTGTACATACAGCTAACTTTGTGGGCGAGGGGAGATCGCAGTTGTTTTTTGTTCTTGTGTGTACCAACATTTTTTGTAAAACAAAGGCTGTGTGGACAAAATTATGTTCTAAAACGGGGTGGGGGTGGATATCAGTTTTCAAACATCTCTCTATACATATAGACAGGACCTCAAGTGTTACCATCACAATAACACATCTGCCAGCAGTTCTGTTAAGCCCTTTTCAATGGTGATATTTATCTCCATTATGACTGTCTTTTATTTTCGTTGTTTTCCAGAAGATTAATACAGCAAAGACGCATTTCAAAAGAAGGGACGGGGACCGTTTTGACAGCCTGGTGGAGCAGTACAAGAAGAAACTGATGGGGAACAGTGATAGGAACAACACCGGCAAAAGAAACAAGTGGTTTGATAGTTAATGCTGTGTGTGTGTGTGTCTGTGTGTGTTGTTGTGTGTGAGTGTGAGAGAGAAAATGTTTGTGAAGTGTATAAGGCTACCACAACAGAAATCCTCTTCATTTGATATCCAGAGGTATTAAAATAAGTCTCATAAATTAATTTTGTGTCAAACTGTACAGTGTATGACGACCATGTATGAAACTTCACTGTCACTTAACTTCATCCATCTTGCTTCTGCATTTTTGTAATTCATATTGTTTATTTCTCAGTACTAAAACAAGATGAAAAATGTAAGGATAGTTTTTCCCCATGTTCTTGGTTTTTATAAAAATATATGCTTAAAAAACAACTTCCTTGTTAATCTTTACATTTTTATATGAAATCCATATTTTTGTATACACACAGGTCACTTTGTTATACCAGTCTCCATTCCGTTGTTTTTGATACTAGTTTTAAACAGGAGTTAATCATAAGCTGATAGCTCTGGATAAACACTTGCCACTCATGAACCTTGTATACACTTGATAGCAAGAGATGAACACCCACGGATGACATTGTATATTAACCTGGTCTACGTGTCATTATCACATATCATTATCTTTCACTTATTACACAACACTGACAAACTCATATATCATGATAAATATTTATTCATAGTTTCAATTCAATAGTTAAAAAAATACTGTACAAAAATATACAAAATATCATCCACAGCTATAAATAACCACGCCGGAAGAGTTGATGCTATTTCACAAAAATGGAAGTTGCCCCTTGCCCTTCCTGTCCTTGTAGTTGTCATACAAACACACCTGTTTTTCTTGGCAAGTTTCAACCTGTTTTTCAGGAATTTCCAGGAGTGACATCACTGCGCACTGTGACGTTTCCTTTGGCTGCAGCCGGCAGCTGATTCAGCTGCTCGACTGAATTTAACTACGGCTCCATAGTTTCACTGAGAAGCCTGTGTTGCTACAACAGTGGTGTCATAAGACAAAGCTTTGAGCAGCTGATTGATCTCTGTGTATAGACAAGTCTGCATAGACTCCTACACAAACTACACTTATGCTGCAGACATTTGATGAGAAGACAATGTAACAAAATACATATTTTTTAAACAGAATATAAATATATACATGTATAGATAGATAGATATATATAAATAAGTTCAAGAATACATTTCCTTCAGCACACATTGCAAAAGTTTGCCAGCAACTTACAAATACTGGTGCTAATGTCCCATTTTTCAGCAAGTCTCAAGATGGTCCAGATTTTTCAGCAGCAGATTGAGGAACTCCTTCACTCTCATGAGAGCCTCGATGCTAACGGTGTGAATGAACTCCTTCCGACTCTGCAGCTCCTGCAGGGGCCCCGGCACCGAGGGCTTGGGCCGCTGCTCGGTGCAGTGCCCCTGCCTCCACTGACCGATGTAACCCGTCAGAGACGAGATGTCAAACTTGACCTGGGAGACTCCGTTGAAGGTGTCGGAGATTAGGCTGTTATAACCATCCAAGACCGTGACTATGGACGAGGGTCCATCCAGGATGTCAGCAGGCGGACTGAGTGTCAGACCAGGAGGGACCTGCAGCAAGAGAGCATGGATCAGTCAAGAACACAGCAACTTTTGAAAACACTTAAAGAGTCAGTGTCACCACAAACGGAAACATACCTGGAAGTCCTTGTTCAGCCTGACGACCAGCTGCTCAGCCATCCACTTCACTTTTGATTTCATCTTCACCACCTCCACTGGCAGAGGAGCAGCCGTGCCCACACTGAAAACGTGTAGCAGGGAAAACAACAGGGCCAGAGTGTAGTCCATTTTTGTAGTATGTCTCTGGATATACCAAGTTCCAAGTATTTCTGTAATTCCTAAAAGAAAAAGATCATACAGGTTATTATTTCTTCTAATATTTGCAGTTATCCGTCTATCTCTTGCTGTTCCATCAGTGTGTCATCTCATTCAGACGGCAGGCATGAGTTCCTCTCTGCATGGCATCATTTTTATACATAAGCACTTCCTCCTTTTACTCAATATGTTTGATTATGGCAGCAAATATTTGTGATAGAGACACCTGTGAATTTTCTGTGTAACAGGTACAAAGATCACTGACTTTGGCTAATGCTATGACTCTCAGCCCTCGGTTTTCCAAACCTGCGCTACATGCTCTGAAGAACAGACGGAAGAGTAAGCTCGTAAAACCCTCACTTACAAAAACACACAATCTATTAGCACCAAGAATTCCTCTGAAAGAAAAAAAACACCTAAAACTGTCACACTTTTACGAATAAATCCAGCATTCAAAGATACTTCAAAAAGCTGTTAAACAGATGCACTGGTAAAGAGACTGAGTGTGACTGTTAGCACAAGGAGTATGAACACAGACAGAAGAGTTGAATGAATGAAAGGAGATGGTGAATGAAATGCAGAGGAGAGTTGACCTTACCTTGGCTGGATGTCTGTGTGTATGCTACTGTTGGGCTCCATCAGGACATCTTATAGTGGAGGGCTGTTGACTCATCTCTTACTCACCTCTCACCGACCCCCCCGTCCACCCCCCTCTCTTTTACCTCTCCCCATCTCATACCCTGCCTCCCCTGGTGGTGCTGCAGGGGACGGGAGGCAACTTTGAATCTGAAGTACACTGTTGGGGACATATTTGAGTCACCGGGCAAAACATTTACACAACTTTAATCACAAGTAGGATTTGCACAACAAAATACCCCCATGTGTAAACTTTATTTAATTAGTTATTTGACATATCACATTATTATTTACAAATAATAATAATGAAGTTTCTAATTTTGTGACTGCAAAGTAAACTTCTAGCTTGACTGATCAATATGCCATATATGTTATATCCTGTTCTGACACTCACTTATCTTCACCACTGTCTCTCTCTCTAAACATTGCATAATGCTGCCAGTAACATCAGTATTTATTTAGGATGTTCCATCCCACAGTGTGTCTCAGCTGCACCCATGTACAGTAGCACAAAGCAAAACCGAAATGACAAAACACATCAGCAGTGATATGAAAAAGTATGGCAGCTCTTCTCCTGACTGATCTCATGTTTTTTCTTGGAATACATAAAAGTGAAGTTTCATTCGTATCTCCATATCTTTATTACTGGACAGTCTTTCATTCGTCATTTTTTAAATCGTTTTACAGTATTTATCTTCATTTCAGTTTATTCAATTATTTATTTCTTGTACGCACAGATCATTATGATCATATCACTGGGTATCAGATACCAGAGAAATTAAAAAAAGATACAAGGTGAAATAATCAATACACTCTTGGTGACACACGTACAGTATCCGAGTCATCTACTTCCAAATAATTCAGTAATTTCCATTGTATTACATTTTAGCTTTCACAACCCCCAGGGGTAAATTTCCACGAAGCTTGCTCCATCTTAATCATCCTGCATGATCTTTTTTGGTCCACTTTGACTACGGTGGCTGACAAGGGCAAACGCACCACAACAGCCCAAATTAGTTCCATATAGAGAAACCTCCTACAGTTTCAAAAACAAAAACAAAAGTCCAAAACAAAAACATTAACAGGAAACATGCTGCAAATGAAGAAACAATGCAAAGTCAGAAGCACAAATCCCAAAAACAAATGCAGCAGAAAAACATTACATATCCAGTCAATACAAGGCAATTTCCCCAGGCCTCTAGGGGGAGCGCTAAGTGGAACAGCATCATGCTAACGCTAGCTACTTAAATGTGTTTCTGTTTTATAATATTGCAAAAGACTAAAGCCTTAGTTAGTAGACATGAGCTGATGTGGGATCGTGACCAGTGTACTATATCAGGCTTTCCATGTAGGCGCATGGAAGGGCAGGGAGGTTTGCTCTCTCTACCTTAGGCTCTCCACGTAGGCGTGTGGAAGAGACTTTCTGCATAGGCCTGAGGAAAGGCAGAGAGGCCCCAGAAGAAGAGCCATACTGTCAAATGTAATACTGACCTTCTGTGCTGCAGAAGGCCAAAACAAACACAGGAAATACGCTGCAAATACAGAAATGATGCAAATTTTAAAAAAAAAACAACACTCAAGCAACCCCCCAAAAATGTAAGAAAAACAACAACAAACAAACAAAACAAACCCAAAACGCTGCGTATGCAGTCCACACAACCACCATTTACATTTCGTCTTATGCTTGATTTGTGCTTGGCGCATCTGCGAGGGTCTTGAGTGTCTGCACGGCCAAAGTGCCATCATTTTTGCCTGTCTGTGCACATCTGACATTCTCTCCGTGGAAGCGGATGGGCAGAGAATCATGCTGTTAACGTAGTTTGGCAGAACATCGGTTCGCTGTGCAGAGAAACCTGCAGGAAATATAAAAGACACAGACATTTCCTCGTTGTGATTCTGCGTCAGCTGATGTCTGTCCGACTGACTGTCCATGCAGAAAACATAGCTGAGACTTTTGTCTTTTATAATATTATAAAAGAGAAACACATTTCCATAGAAAGCATTAGCATGATGTTGTTCCACTTAGCGCTCCCATGAGAGACCTGGGGAATTTGTGTTGAATGGATGTGCAGCCGTTTTCTGTTGCATTTGCTTTTGGGGTCTGTGTATTTTTGACTTTGCATTGTTCCTATATTTGCAGTGTGTTTGCCGTTAATGTGTTTGTTGCGTCCATTTGCAGCTTGTATTTGTTTTGGATTTTGTATTTGTTTTTGAATTGGCATCATTTATAAAGGTGCAGCACGTTTCTTCTAATGGAAATGTTTTGGGCCGTTGTAGTGGTTTTGCCCTTCCAGCCATCGTAGTTTGATAGATTAGAAGTGTGATGTTCTTAACATTGTCCAGACAACTTTAAATTTTCTCCAAACAAATTGATCAAAGCGAAATGGTTGTACATAATCGCACAGTACCTTGTAGGTGATACATATTACTAAACGATTGTGATAAATACTTGGTAATACATTTGTATTATATGACCTAATGTGGGTGGCAATACTCCAAGGATGGTTTCTCCTTTTCACGACACACACAAAGTAATAGCCACACATGCATAGTATGCAGGATTCTGACAATGAATGTCACTGCTCTATTGTCCAGTTTCAGCGGTAATTTCTGCAGCACAGGAACACCGTTGCACCCTCTGTTTCATTTACAAAGAACTGCATGAAATGAGTGTTTTTTCTGTTGAGCAACAACAAGTACCATCACGCGTTACTCAGATGTATGGACAGAAGTTCTGCTGAACTGAGTTAGTCTTCCAGTAAACAACAATTTCACCATTATGTCTTATAATGATAAATGTCAGATGTGTTCAGTGCAGGCCTCCTGTCTTTGTAGGTGCCTCAGCCACATTTCAAGCACACATTTATCTACCATTTCTTAATGCTACATTTGCTCATATTTAGCGTTCTTCTTGGCAAAAGTATTCTGAAATGTGTGTATTTTTCAGACAGAGTGGAGATTTTGGCAGCAGATGGCTATTGTTGCTCCATGCAGGAGAGAAGTGGCTGTGCTGAATAAGTTTCTGTTTCTCTGAAACAAAAAGAGGTCAGAGAGGCCAACACTGTGTGTGCGCATCTGCAGGGAGCATAACCATAATGGTATTTTTCACTTTTCTCTCAAGGTAACTTACAGTAAGTCCTGCAAACTGTTAAATGTCTCATGCAGGGCACACACACACACACACACACACACACACACACACACACACACACACACACACACACAAACAGAAGTCCTCTAAAACTATTAACACATGGTCATTGCCACACTGTGAGCAGAATAAACACAACTGTGATAGGAACTGAAAATTTTTGGGAAGAAGACGCACTCTAAAGGACATAATTCTGGGAAGGAAAACAAATGGGTGACAGTATCCCACTTGTATTTTCAACAGGAACAGTGTATCAGTCATGAAGAAAAACACAAAGGAATTAGGAGAATGATATAATTGGATGGATAGTTTCCAAATTATGTTTAAAGTTTCTTCAGAGCTGTCCCCTGGGGGCTCAGGGAGCTCTCTTGCCGGCAACAGAGCAGGTTTCATTGCACGCACAAAAAACCCCAAAACATTTTCATCTGACATCTGGCATGAATTAAAACAGCCTGTCGCTAAGACTATTTTTAGATCAGGATTTTGCCTGCCGACATGTGATGTGTGTGTTTCCAGGAAACATTTTACCATGATAGATGGTCAGTCTTGACTCGATTATGACGAGCACTCAATCGTGTTATTCATTCAACCCACAGTAGGATACACATCATTATATCTTGGTTGCTAAACTGTGAACAAATACGGCCGTCATCTGTATATTTTAGATCTGTGGGGTCACCAATTAGACCTCAAAGGTTAATCAAAATGTTATGCCTATTTTCGATTCAGCAAGAATAGCGTATCATAAAAAGGGTGATTCAAAGCTGTTTCCGCTTTGCCAGACAGTTGTTACTTACTGAGTTTATTTAGCCCACTGTTGCTCTAATTAGATCCAAACAGCGAGGATACACATTTGTACTTTTGTGGCTACGGTAGAACCCACAACCGCCGCTAACAGCTTTGTGTTACGTTTGGATGTCTGTGGTCCCTGAGATCATGGAGGATCAATCAGACTGCATCCCTGTCAATTCCATCCTGTCCAATATGGAATAATCCACTGCTAACTGCTGGTGGTAAAACACTGGCAGAGAGAAGTTATTAGAAGAAATGAAGAAATTAGAAGAAGAAATTATACACAGGGCTTATATCACACCATATAAGTTAAAAAAAAAAAAAAATAGATCCAAATGCCTCCGAACTGTGTTGGCATGGCTGTGGTAGGCTTGGTACTCTCATACACTTATTGTGGTCCTCCTCAGTGGTTAAACATTTTTGGACTGAGATAATAAATGTTTTAAAGATGATATTGAATGTTCATATTCCGCAATGCCCTGCTCTGTGTATATTGGGAAATAGAT